AGGTTCGTGACAATCGATCGGACATGAATTTATGAATGAACCACAAATTCTGATTTCGCGTGTACGTTATGGCTTGGCATGCTTGAAATTTCCGTGGGATCAGATTCATTCGGCCGAATATAGGTTTAATATGAAGTTGCATGTTAGCTGCACGCTATTTGCATCACGCGTTATGTCATCATATTATACTATACCAACTCCACTTTGGTGGATTCACTTTCTATAAGGGTCGTCGGAATCCTGAAAAAATAGATCTATAGACTCAACTGTGGAACTGTGCTATTGATTATTAACACCACGACACGAAACGAGGGGTCTTATATTACGCTTAGGTATCTTTCACCAAGTGAGAGAGAAAATCCGGAATCCGTATTGATATACAGGGTGATCCACGGTAGATGGCCTATTAGAGATATCTGAAGAAGGAAAAGATAGAAAATTCTGAAAATTGGGATGCTTTGATAATTGAAGATACTCTATCCGTCTAAAATATTTTCATCGATACAGTGTTGCCACTTCCTATCAGAAACAACATATATCAGTAGATAGTGAATCGAAAGTTGAGATAGGGACATGTAAGCCGTTTTGATCTATAATGAATAGTTTTGACAGAAAAAAATCCTGAAATTCAAAAATCTCGATTTTGAACAACCAATATCTCTGTAATCATTCCTGCTAGACCCCAAGTGTGATACATTGATGAAATGAGACCTTCAGGAAATATCTAAAAATGCAATAAAATACAGGGTGATCCATTTAAAATAACGAAGTTGCTAGTTGTTTCTGATGAAAGTGGCAACACTGTATCAATGAAAATATTTTAGACGGATAGAGAATGTTCGATTATCATGTATACAAGATGTGATTGTAAATTTGTGTTGTAAATGAATAGGATAATGGAAATAAACGACTCAAATACAATTTTCAGAATGTTCTGTCTTTTCGTTCTCCAGATCCTTCTAATAGGCCATCCACCGTGGATCACCCTATATAATTATGTATTATAAGTATCAAGAAGTGAATGATAGATTAATGCGGAAGAACTGAATGACGAAATGAATTGTTCTCACCTGAAATGGATGGCATTGAGAAATAAAAATTATCAATGAACAATAATAATTGTAACTTACACAGTGGAGGTGATATAAATCAGGAGGGTGAAAGAACTAACAGTCACAACTCCACCACATAAACAATTTAATAATGACCAACGGTCATGGACACAAGGACATGTTTCGAAGGATTAATCCTTCATCATCAGCAAATTTATAAAAAGAAAATCTGTAAGAAGAAACAACGCTTATGTTAGTTTTTAAGTGTTGATTAAAAATCTGAATGTATCTACCATTATTGGTGGAAAAAGATTACTCAACGTGAAAAAAAAAAAGTTTAACCGCGCATAATGTGGGTGAGTAACTTTTAGGGAACAGACATGATCACAGCTCTATAAGATAGCTTAGTTTTCAAAAATAGTTTGATATGAATCAAATATTGAAATGAACCAACATGTGGGCCCGAATTTGTTGAATTAGGTCAGCTAATCACAAATGACAATCGGCAAATGACAATTGACGACAATGACGCTGAGGACAAAACACAACATCAGAATGACACCAGTCAAGTCAAAACCAAGAAATGTTTTGAATCGAAGTGACATAGTACACAAAACAGAATTGTAATTAAAATAATAAGGAGTTGAATAATTTGAGACTATCGAATTGAGTTTGTTCGTTGAAGCAGTTGAGGTTAGAGTTTTTGACAGCTTTATTAATTTCCACGGTTTCAAGGAGGTTGAGTTTGTTTCCTTTGTCACAGATATGTAAAATTGGTGGAAGAAGACATCACAGAGGAAGGAGGAAGGAAGTGCAAAATATAAGCAATTCTTTCACCGTACTGATGAGGGCCGAAAGCCCGAAACACGTGTCTGAAATAATACTAGAAATTGGATCAAGGAATGCTCAAGATAACCCTTCACCTTTTTTGGAATTGACATTTCCTTCTCTGTGGCTTATTCCTTCGAGCTCATATTACGACTATGAATTGGAACTGGTCCTTAAGGATGCCGAGGTCACCTTGAGAGCGACTATAAATACTTTTGATCGATTGGTTTCATTACCTCCTGAGCAAATCCCCGCTGCCCATCAACTTCCCCATCGTTATTGGATGCGATAGAAGGCCAACGACTTGGGCCCTCTGCCCACCAAAAGTTTCAGAGTATGTATAATTTAATATCTAATATTATGAATAGGAAAGATTTGATTGTTTGTTTGAATGGGCTCCAAAACTAATGGACCTATTCGAATAATGCTTCGGCCATTAAATGCCGACCATAGATCTGAATGTGTGTATGTAGATCTATGTGCCGACATTATCCATGATTAACATAGGCTACTTTTCACCGGGAAAATGTTCCATTTCTTTGAGAAAACGGGTTAAGACAACGGGTAGCATAAGAATTGTCCTTCCGTACCTATCTTTTTCACATAACTTCTAAACGGTGGAACAGATTGTGTTGAACTTTTATATAGGTATTACAATGGTTTCTTGGATGATTTAAGAATACGATTGGACGCTGTAGGTGGCGCTGCTGTCGGTATGTCAACTACTAAACGGCTTGACCGATTGGATTGAAATTTTTAATACGTAAAACAACAAAAAAACACAAAAGATACTGGGAGAATGGAAATAGGTGTGAGTATATAATAGTAGTTATAGGTGGGCACAAAAAATAACAACAGATGAAAAATGATATGTACTGTAGATACGCGCATAGCTCAAACCCACTAAACATAATTATGTCAGTATCAGGAATGTCTTTCGGATATCTGAAACCTTTCCACTTTAGTCTCTCTGAAGTTTCAGAAACGTTCCAGAGAATGTAAATGTCCTACCTCAGTGAAGTTTCTAGGAACGTTTCAACAATATCGTCCCAGACACGTTCCGAGACAACCGTTATGGGCACGTTCCAACGTGAATGCGTTTCAAAGAAACTGTTGAAATAAAGATACATAGACAGTAGAAAAAGTAAAATTTATTAGGTACTACTTATTCTTATTTTACGAACAGCTTAGTACGCCTTTACCCATCACACATCAGATGTGAGATATACAAAACGCAAATAGTCTAATCAAATCCACACTAGCTCAATGAACACTGTCAACTAATATCTCTTGTTCACAATATACTATCTCAAAAACGGCGGAAGAACATATACGTGCTGTTCAACAATATCATTCACATTTCCTTCGGATGTGGAATCATTCTTGATGAAAAACGTTGTTAATCCTGATTTTCCTTTTTGGCTCCTCGAAACTAAGCAACTGGATACGATGGATCACAAATTAACTATCAGGTTCAACTACCACTGTCGAACACGTACATTCAGAAATTAGTGACTAGGTATTTCACAAACTAGAAATAGGAGTGTAGCATTAGTTGGCAATTGAGTGTTGTTTAGCCCACGCAAATCTCACGCTCATCTCACGCTGTCTAAGCTATCATTGACTCTCGTCTCGTTGTCTCGTTTAAGTCTCGTTTCAGTCGACTCCCTCTGACCTTGTACTGTCTTGTAACGATACCAATCCTTCCCCTTTCTGCATTCATACCCGCGTCTCCCATTCATCACAACTTTTTTTAGCAACAAGAAATTCGACATACGAAATACATATTACTCAGTCTCATCTACATTTTGAGGCGGCATACTGAAGTTTAGGCATGAACAATATTAAAAATTAAATAAGCGTTGGAGTAAAATATAATTAGGAGTAGGTACACTTTAACATTGAAGGCGTGGTATAGTAGCAGCAGCTGTATTTTGATTTGGGATTTTCTATAGTGATAGGTATTTATTATGATGTAGAATAGGTGTAGGCAATACAACAAAAAACAAGAAACATCAGGAGGAGCAGCATCAGAACATGAATTCTTGAATGGGTGCATTTTTCTTGAAACATTTCATTTTGGTTCCGTTCAAACGTTCTTGCAACTAAGAAATATTCGGGAAACCTGTACGAAACGTCTGGGTTACGTTTCAAGTGACGAACCAAACAGTCCACAATAGAGTAGAATTGGAATGTTTTCTGGAAGGTTTCATGGCTAGTGGGGAACAACTGCGACAAATGTCATAGATTTTTTAAATGGGTACCCCAACGTCACCAACCGTGCGAATCCGGGCCGGACAGTCATAGTATTTTATATTTCATTACTTTATCTCATCTTTTATATTTTTGCTAACTACTTTCAAGCTTAGTCAATAAAATGAATGATCCTTGGACAATGAGTTGGGTTGACTCTATTCTACAGTATGCTAAATTTCAAGAGTCATATTAAGAAAAAACGATTTACTACGGAACAGCTTCATAACGACAATATTCTCAACATTAGAATGCTATATTCTCAAATCATTTGTCTTTTTATGTATAAAACAAACAAAAGTTGAGCATTCATATCAAACTAGACAAATTTCCAACCCAGAATTTGATTGTTTCTCTTTACAGAGAAGACGGTAACTGAAGATTCATCACGAGCTCAGCTCCAAAACTGTAGATACAATAATTCTCCACCAACTCATGCACATTGAAGATATATTCCTAAATATAGTGGATTTGCCAAAAAATGTGAGCTAAACATCTACAGTGACTATAAAACATTTCTAAAACTAAGGTATGTCATTCTCAGCATTCAGTGCCTGAGATTTTCTTTTTTTTTTATCATTTCTCATATCCTTAACATCTTTTCATTTGAGTACATGCAGGTAGTAGAATAATAAATTATTTCATACCATTATAATATCATAACCCCTTAGATTTTTTGCACATACAGATTGCTTGTAATCTAGGTGCAATAATAAGATATTGTAGGTATAGCTCCAATTGTGAATTGTTATTCAATTATTGTATTAACCTATTATTGTAAACTTAATGTATTCTATGTTGGTTCGCTTCATACAATGAATAAAAAAATGATGAGAAAATCTCAGTTTTGATTGATTGATTGCTTACCTCCTGAGCAAATCCCCGCTGCCCATCAGCTTCCTCGTCGCCTGGATCCTATAGAACGCCCTCGACTTGGGCCCTCTGCCCAGCAGCGTCTCGTGCGCCATCTTCTCCAGCGCGGCGAGGTCGGCGCGCGGGTGCTCCCTGCGCAGCTCGCGCAGTGTTGCCACGTACTCGCGCTTGGCGTCGTCGTCGCGCGCGCCGCCCTCGGCCTCGGGGGCGGCAGGCAGCAGCTCGCCGTTGCCCATCTCGAGGCGGTCGCCGCCCTCCGCTTGGACGATGACGCCGCGTCTGTTCATGCGGTAGTCCTTGCGGATGTACCTGCAACAGGGAAGTGACGATCGCTGAATTCCGATTACTTATACTATCTCATATGTTATTGAGGGTAGGTATATGATTCATTCTCGGCTAGTAGTTTTTCAAAATACACTCACCGGCAAGAAAAACCGGCCACCAAATAATTTAGCCAAATTGTTAGCTCCCCTGATAGCACACAACGTCCTAGGGACGTCCCTATTTGGTACAATTCAAGTCCGAATGTCCCGGACCGAAAATAAATATCCTTGGGACGTCCCATCCCGTACATCTCATGTAATGTCCGAGCAAGGACGTCCACGGAATGTTACAGCAGGTACATCATTTCAAATGTCCTAGAAATAGCATCCCTTAGACGTCCCACGTGGTACATATTGTAGAATATCTATGCAAGGACGTCCTTGGCATGCCACTGATGGGATATGAATTTAAACGTTCTTCTAAGAACATCCATCGGATGTATGACTGGCATGACTTCAGATCTTATATAATGTCCATTCTAGACAACCATGGAATGACCCTGATGGTACATTCCTTCAAATATCTCTGCACAGACGCCCATAATATTTCCAGGATCGTATAACAATCTAAATGTTCCTTAGCGACATCCTTCGAATGTCCCTTAGGGATATCCGTCGGATATGTCCCAGTTGGTACATGAACTAAAACAGCTGTACTCTTCCAATGTCCTAGAAATAACGTCCTACGGACGTCCTAGTCAGTACTCTCAATATGTTGTCCCTGCGAGGACGTTAACTTACACCTCGCCGAAGAATGATTGCTGGTAGGCTATAAATACTCCCCATCAATGTCCTTCACGTAAGTCCATCGGATATCAGTGGGAAACTATTTCAGGATCTATTGGGAACCTTTTGAGGACCATCAACTGGATGTCCTCATCAGTTATGCAAGATCTGGTTCTAGAGGGACCCAGAAAAATTCAAATTCTAGAATAATTCGTACGTCCCTGGGACATCCTATGGACATCCAATTGATATCACTCAGCGTTGCTGATAGTCTGTCCTACGGATGTCCTAAGGATGTCCTCCGTAGTGGTTGATGAGGAATACTGTAGGATTTAGATATTAGATAGTTGTCCCCTCAAGGACGTCCCTTGTAAGTCCTCAAGTGGGACATTTGTGCGTCCCACAGACGTCCAATGGACGTCCACGGTATCAAACTCGAACGTCCTGTGAACGTTCTGAATGTCCTTACAGGATGGGACATAATTGTGTTACTAGGGTCTGTAACTTTTTCAATGCTGATCCGATATTTTAGATGAAATTCCGATCGAATCGTAGATTCATGTTTCCAAATGTTAGCCTGAATGTTAGTTCCTTAGAAAATCTGCTTCATGTTTCAGATTGAAGAGTGATCTCTTCTCCACATGATGGTTTTTTATTCACGTCGATAACCACTTTTTAAGGGAAGATACGACGTACTGCCTCTGTCTTGAAGATAATGAAACAGCAGAGCATTCTCGCCCTCGGACCTGAAAGATCATCCACTGAGTAATCTAATTGGCTTCATTAAAAAGCTGGATCTACTTGGTGAAGTTTGAATCGGTGTGTGCCACAATAGACCCTTACAGGTCGCAGTGGAGGGCTGAATAGACCCAATCACTCGTAACCTAACCCAAGAGAATTGTCAACTCCTAGAGTTGATTTTAGAACGAAATGGACGAAGAGAAAACTCACCTGTGGATATTCCTGTCTGCCGCATAGGCCGTGAGGACGGTCAAAGGGAAGAAGCAGAAGGTGAGGACGCCCTCCCAAATGTCCACCACGCCTGGCGAAAAGAAGCACAGGATGAGGTAGAGCCACACGTAGGCGAACACCGACCACGAGGCCGTCACGAAGAACACGCCCAGGTGCTTGATCTTTCTAGACTCGCCCTTGGGGATGACGCCCACGCACAGCGCGATGATGACGAAGAGGTTGTAGGCGGCGCTGCCGACGATGGTGCCGGGGCCGAGGTCGCCGGCCTCGAAGTTCTTCGCGTAGATCTCGATGACGGAGAGGAGGATCTCGGGGGCGCTGGAGCCGAGCGCCATTAGCGTCAGATTGGCCACCTGGGGAAAGGAGGGTTGTGAGATTTTTGTTTGCGAAAAATTTGAGTGAACGTTGAAGTTCTAATAATACAATCACCAGCAAAAATAAACGGTCACCAGAAAATTCTTGTCCGGTCCTGATGAAAGTTCCACCAAATCGTAGATATGTTTCGAGTTGTGATCATTATACAGGAAAAAAACAAAGTTATTCTTTCACCCCTATCTTCTTAACGCTCTGTAGCATAGGTGGTGGTTAAATGCAGCTTCATCATATGTTTTGGATTGAAGTGTAATTCCTTACTAACACAATGGTTCTTCATTCACGTCAATATCTCATTTAAAAAAAAATACAAGTGTTTCAAGAAAGTATGGAATTTTTCATTCTTATTCAACAATAATTCAAAACCATTCTCCAACCTTCTGCTTCATCATGTTCTGGATTGGAAGGTGATCGTTTCTCGACACTTGTCAACACAATGGTTCTTGATTCACGACACAAATGAACGTATGGATTTTATTAATTTTTTCAACAGTTACAAACAGAACCTTCAGATCATGAACTCCAGAGGCTCATTCGTCTTCATTCAACTTGTCAGAGACTCTTCATGAGCCGAGATTGGTTCCTCAAGGAGAATTTGAGGCTTTTCCTCAAGACTGCTTGAAGAATTGGATCAACTCAATGCCACGGTGGTTGAATGCTGAAATTCAAGCTCGAGGAGGGCATTCTTGTTATTGACTACCTTTTCCACTTGTATTTCAGAAAAATTCTATTGAAGTTCAAAAAGCGTCAATTGTATTTCAGAATAGTCATTTTGTATGACAGAAAACGTAAATTTCATTTCCGAATAGTCAATTGAATTTCAGAAAACGTCAGTCGTATTTCAGAATAGTCACTCGTATTTCAGAGAGCATCAATTGTCGATTGAATTCAGGATAGCTTCAATTGTATTTCAGAATAGTCACTATTATTTCAGAAAGCATCAATTGTATTTCAAAATAGTCACTCGTATTTCAGAAGGCATAAATTGTATTCCAGAATAGTCAATTGAATTTCAGGAAGCGTCGATCGTATTTCAGAATAATAGTCACTTGTATCACAGAAAGCATCAATTGTATTTCCGAATAGTCCATTCAATTTTCGAAAGCGTCAATTGTATTCGAGAAGATTAGTCAATTGAATTTCAGAAAGTGTCATTCGTATTTCAGAAAATATCATTTGGAATTCAATAATTGATGCCTTCTTAAATTCAATTGACTATTCTAAAATACAATAGACGCTTTCTAAAATTGAATTGACTATTCTGTAATACAATTGACGCTTTCTGAAATATAAGTGAATATTCTGAAATACAAATGACGCTTTTTGTGATACAACTGGAACGGGGGTAGATTTAGGAGCAGGTCTGCTTTTCGTTCAAACTATATTCTCTTGAAACATTTGTATCTTCTCTTTGAAAGTAGATATTGATGTGAATCAGAAACCATTGTGCTCAGAAGGGACTACATTTCAATATAAAACATGATGGAGCTAAGTTTGATCACTCAATTCTGCAACAGAGCGTTAACAAGTTAAGCTTAAAATAGTAACTTTTGTTTTTCCCAGTTGAATGATCAAGGCGTCAGATTTTCTTGGGAACTTAAATTCAGGCTAACATTTATCGAAACATGTATCTACGATTTGGCTGAAATTTCACCAAAATCAGACAGGAAATAAAGAAATTATAGAGCGATCAATTTGGATAATTTTTTTTCTACATTCATGCAAAAAGCAGAACTTTATTGAACTATATTTAGTGGAAAAAGAAGTTGTTTATTGCACTCATCTGTCATTCTAGTTCAACGTGCTGTCATCATGACAAACATTTTTTATATTGCAACTGTGGTTATAGAAACGTCAGTCAAAAATTAATTCTGACAATTAACAGAATTGTACCTAGTGCCGCACCTCAATAAATCATCTTTTGCTTTTTGCATGAACGTAGAAAAAATGTTGTATGCAACTCGTCCATAAATTGTTTATTGCACTCGACGACAATAAAACGAAAAAGAGGTTCATCCAACATTCTTCTAATATTGATTATGTGTTTTTGTGGTCCTTCGGGTCTCCTGGCCATTCAGTCGTCTTTTCAGCAGCTATCCTTTTAGGAACTACGAATCTCTATCGGAATGAGATCAGTTACACGTATTAGTATCAAAAATTATGTAGTATGTGTCGGCGAGATGTAAGCAAAGCAAGAATATTTCGATAGCAATGTAACGAATTCAACTTTGTTGTTGAGTAAATAACAAATTTTTGAAAAATACTTGCAGGTGTGTACATCGCAGCGATGGAACATTCGTAATATCGCATTGTTGCCTTATCGCGACATCTCAGAGATGTCATGTCGCTGATGTATTTTCTTTTGTACATCGCAGCGACGGAACATTCGTAATATCTGTGTTGCTCCATCGCGACATCTTAGAGATGTCATGTCGCAGATGTGTTTGCTAACCTAACCTATTGAGTTCATTATTGTTCCAGACAAGTCTGTTTACGCTGTTTATGTTCGGTGTCAGTACTATACTAACCGTCTCGTTCCACATGCGCACGACGACGATGTGCGGTTCCCCGCTGGCCCTGCGCACAGCCACCTCGCGCTCCTGCGAAGTGATCACCTCGATGGCGGCCATGAAGCGATCGGAGACGATCGACACTCCCACGAAGAGATAGGCCAGCGCGCAGAAATAGACGACGCCACGGCCGACGCGCTCGGTCAGCGCGACGTCGACGAGCGGCTGCCAGCAGGGCAGCAGCAGCCCGTCCGCGCAACGGATGGCGGTGTGGCCGCCCGCGGTCGAGTTGGCGGCGGTCGACGGGCCCATCTCAGTTGAGGCGCATTTCTTGATGGAAGCCTTCGGAAAGCGCTGTTGGAAAATAACTCGTGTACTCACCGGCAAAAAAGTTAGCCGATTTGATCGCCCTGTAGATTTTTTATGTTAATGTAAAAAACTTCATAAATGATACCTAAGATGTCCACAAAATTCTTCGACACACGACATGATTCGCTAACACAGTTAATACATGCAAATGGTAGTCTCACGTTGCAAAAAAACTGCTTATAATTCCAAAAAGTATTTGTGGTATCGAAAAAATGAATCACAACTTATTTGAAGGAGCCTGTACTAGGTATAGCAAGGAGCCAAATTACGTCAGCCCTCGGGGCGGACAAAGCACTAGGACTAGGAGAAAACTGGAGGAATATCACAGGTTACAAGCAGGCCAAGGAATTCATGGCCGGTCCAAGCAAATCAAGGAAGGAGTGGCTGCTTGGCAGAGACCGCCAAGTACTCCGCCTCCTCATAGGAGTACTCACAGGACACAACAGGCTAGACAGACACCTATCACTTATGGGAATAGAGGACAACCCCACTTGCCGCAGATGCGGGGAAGACGAGGAAACGTCACTTCATTTCCTCGGCGAGTGCGAGGCCTACGGAAGGCTGAGATTTGAAATCTTTGGAGTAGACAAACTCCAACAGGAGGACTTGATTATATTAGAGTGGACGGACATACTGGCTTTCATCAGGAGGTCAGGGAGATTCGTAAAGGAAATCTAGGTGAAGGAAGCGTAGATATGTGGAGAGCATGGGTTGGCAAAAAGGGCCCATTGGGGCCTACTTGCTTGGCTACAGCCTCCCCATCTACTTCTACTACTATTTGAAGGAGCTGAATTTGTCATAATTCAAGCCTAACCTCAGCACCGATTCGTCTAATACTTCCCAAAATACAGTACATCTAATATGGGCCAATTTTTTCAAAAATAGTGTATTGTTTTATCAGGATCAGAAGTAATACTTTGTTCAACAAGCGAAATTTCTCATTTGTTAGGCGGAGCGTCTAGCGAAGCAAGGAATAGAAAAATTTGCGAGTCAAACAAAGTCACTTTTAATCCGAATAAACCATGCTATTTTTTGTGCAACCGGAAGAATTAGCTAAAATAAATGTAAGTGAAGTAACCACCAATGTGATTCACTTGACAGATCATTAAAATGATATGAGTAAGTAGAAAAGTAGATAGAAGCAAGACCTCCCACTACTTTACTTTGCTACAATTTGTGTTTACATGCATGATGTCATCAGAGACTCCAAGCACGAATTCAATTCTACCCAAAACGTGGATGGATGTATGCAATGCAACAAAAAATAATCCATGTGGTGAGAATATTCTACCTGCATTCCCAGATCTGGTTTATTCAATTTTCAAGGAGGTTCAAATTGTAGTCTCAATATGAATGCAACCACAGAGTGACCTATTTGTGTATTCTATTGACATCATATCGATGAATTCAATTAGTGGGACTGTGTTTGGCTCGGTAATCAAATGAAAGTAAACAATATCGTTTTTGTGAGGCAGAAAGGTATTGCTGGCCGTGATTATTCAAAAACAAATTATCCAATCAAACAATTTCCGAGACTAAGGAATGAACTACAGATCGAGCAAAAACGTGAATCTTGAAGGCTTTCCTGATCAAAACAAAAATACTTAACTATGTGGTTCATTTATATCTCCAGCATGGGTATGAGATAACAAATCTGCCGAAATCAATAGGCATTCAGGAAAGAAGCACTTGTATCAGTATTCGTTTATACGAGTCGATGCATAGATTTCGGGAGGATTTAATTCAATGTTCTGCGTGGCATTAGCCAGGAAAGTATTTGTTTTTCTCCCGAAATCTACAATTGTTGTTCATTTTATGAATATTGTGTGAAAATGACTGAGCTTTTTTTTTTTTTTTATCGCTTGGGGCGCACGAGAGGGAATCCCTATAATGTTCAAAGAACATCGTGCGTTCCTAGGGAGGATAGGGACAGGAGGTAGGTATTGGAATTTTTTTTGAACTTTTGTATTTATTTAATATTTCATTTCCACGTTGAGCATTGTGGCTATTTCGTAGTAGAAATTACGCCAGTCGGGCAACCAGCCACTCACGTATGGGAATTTCAGTTTTGGAGTGATTCTTTCATTTCTGTTCTACTCAGATGGCGTTGCTTTCATATTGTCGATGAAAGACGCCTCTGGGGGAATATAATGCCGGCTTGATCTTTGTGTGGCTAGGCTTCGCTGAGTCGGCGGTCTTAGGACTGCTGACTGGAGACTACACTGCACTGATGAGAGTCAAAGAGCTCGAAACCGGTCTGTGGTTGTCTAGTGTAGCCTGGCTGAATCGAAATCAATAGGCATTCAGGAAAGAATCACTTGTATCAGTATTCGTTTATACGAGTCGATGCATAGATTTCGGGAGGATGTAATTCAATGTTCTGCGTGGAATTAGCCAGGAAAGTAATCGTTTTTCTCCCGAAATCTACCATTGTTGTTCAGTTTATGAACATTGTGTGGAAATGACTTTGAGCTATTTGTATTTATTCAAAATAATAAGTTTTTTGATGAATATTTATCTGAAAATAATTTTTTTTAGAAATTATGTTCATGGCGAAAATTTGTTTGCCGGATCAATATGAAATTGTCACTGACAAGCGAATGCATTTCTCTTTTGGGGTTTCTCATAGGGAAATTTATAAACGCGAATCATCTGGGTTGTCCTCACTACAGAATATTGAAATAATACTCATATTTTTACTTTATAGAAACAAGGAGAGAGAATCCCAAAAAATCTGGAAAAATTAACATACCACCTCGATCAATCAACAGACAGTATTTATGGAAATTTAAATTTCGAGTCAACTTTTGAGCTTAATATTGGGGGAGTTTTAGTAAATATTTTCAGCCCCAATCTACTTCCAGAGCGAAGAGGGAAAGATCAAATATGGCTGACTCATAATTTGCAAAATCTAAAGAATAAGAAAATTGAATTTTGGTAAGATTTCATCTGAACTCGTGAGTATATCGTTGAAGAATATCTCAGAGTGATTGGCAGCTCATTGAAGATTCTTAGTCCAATATTGTTACATGGTAGTTATTTTTATGACGTGTATTGAAATTATGAATGTTTTGGTTAGCCTGAACTTAGTATGGTTTAACTAAATATATGTGAATACTTCAAAAATTTATAGAGAAGCTACAGTGAGGATATTCAATTTCCTAGAATACGCTTTACAAAACTTTTTTCTAGGTTTGTTGGCAATAGATCAGATTGCTTATTTTAATGCAAAATATTTGCTGCAACTTCAATACTGTGAATTTTTCTTGTAGGATCAGTATTTTCATCAATCTTTGGCTTGAAAGTTGATTCAAAACTTGAATTTTAATGTTTTTTTTATTTTCCGATATTTGAAACGCTGCATCTTGGGAACTATTGGTCCTACTGTGCTGCGGTTAGGCTCGAATTGTGGAAAAATCAATCTTCTTTTAATAAGTTAGGATTCATTTTTCGCTACCACGCATTCTTTTTGGTACTATAAGCAAATAATCAAATGATAACTCTTTTTCATCCCTGTATAATGACCGAGCCATCCGTTTTTTCCAGCCAAAATAATGGTGAACAATTTGAAACATTGATCAATGATTTGTTTTTAATCTCATCCAAATCAGATAAGAATTAAAGAAGTTAGAGGGCGATCAATTTGGCTAAATTTCTTGTTGGACGGTATTTTTTGCCGGTGAGTTTTTTTTCTGTGACGGAAAAAAGTTCGAGATTTCATCCCTGTTGGCATGAAATGTCACTTTATAGAAATTACTTTCTGCCCACGGGAAAAACTTTTTTCCCGAATATACCGTGTGTCCCCGCTTTTCATGAATATATACACCCTGTTTTGTACTAATTGTATGTTAGAATGAGGAAGTATTTAGCAGAATGAATAGTTTCATTCACCATTGGCGTGCGATGTTTGAGGAGTACAGAAAAGGCCTTTATTTGGGAAAAGGATATTAAGACTCATTTTGAATAACTTTTTTTATCAGATTCATAATCAGCATCCCCAAAAACCCCCAATTTATATTTTCAAGATTCCAAGAGCTAAATAATAAAATATTTCAAAATCCTGCTTTTCAAGACGACACCCTTAAATCTCAGTTATCAACGATGCGACTTTCTTGAAATTTTGATGTTGATTGTATGTTTGAAAAATAAAATTCAATCACCATCACAGTTTCGAGAAAATCGCATTATTAATAACTGAGATTTTGGGGCGTAGTCATGGAAAATATTAGATTTTAGCTCACGTTTTCTTGTCTCCCGACGCGTAGCGTGACAACGCAACCTGGAGCTAAAATCTACTACTTTTTTCCCTATAACAATTTTTCTTCATTTTATCCAACCTCGCTGATTCCGAATATGTCTGTTGTCGAATTCACCCCGACACCTAGAATACAAAATATGCACTCAGTGCGAGCCTGTTTTACCAATGGAATTTGCTATTAGATTGAACGTTAGACATGTTTTCCCATAGTTTCCATATCATCGCAACGTGGCCTGTTCCATCGAACATATTCGGAAAAAATACGTAGAATATTCGAACAAATAGAAAACCTCAAGATATGAAAAGGCATGAGTAGACTTACGTTTTTTTACTTCCATTGTGAAACTTCACTACCACTATCGGTCTAATATTTTAAATCAATATTTTCCCAACACTCTTAATTGGTTCAATATTCAACCAATATTAGTGTTCTTCCTGGGTTGTTTTGTAATTTTGTTGTTCATTTTCACTATTCGTTCCTGTTTTTCATATACTCAAATCTTATGAGTACCTATGTAATTATTATTGTGATATTTGTGAGTAATTTTGAATTGAGGATATGATTATTTCTGTATCAGAATGTTTGTTTTGTTTGTTTATATTTTGTTGGAAATATGTTACTTTCCTGTTTACTAAAAGTTCATGTTTTGACGTCATATTTTTACTTTATTATCCTTTCTTGGAATTCGAATAGCATAAAATAGATCTCAAACAGATCTATGGAAATCTATGGAATGAATATCGAACTGGCAACCCTGGTCCGTGGAAACTGTGAGTTGACAACAACTGTCATTTGGTATTGTCAAATTAATTATACACAAAATTCGATAGATTTCACGTGTAAATAGGACGGTGATGTGAATATAAGTGTTTGAGGTCGACGAAAATATATGTATATAATATGCACCTCGGCGAAAAAAATCTATTGTCTCGTCTGATTGTTAGCCTCGGCTGAGGCCTCGACTATCAATTCGCAGACTCGACTTTAATAGACAGTGTTTCGTCCTTGGTACATAAATAACTATTTTGAAATTTTAAATCCCTTCATCTCAGGAACTATTCATTGTAGATGAAAACTGGAAAATGCCCTTTTTATGGGTAATTTAATGTTGTTCAATACTGGTAGCAATTCCCCAATTATTCAAGAATAACTTGAAAAAATGACCTTCAAACGCTCCCCTACCGCCCCGCTCATTCCCAACGGGCCAGGATTTTCAGTATGTTGTTCATATGGCACGATTTTTCCCCTATTCGACCTTTTTTTGGCTTTCTTCGATTGAACTAGCACTTCAAAAGAAACGAACCTAGACTATTCCGGCACTCTTGGATCTTCGCGGAAGCGTCGATGGCACTGATGTGGGGACGATGTCGCGCTTTGTAGTCTGCTCGGGCGCATAACAGCGCGTCGGTCGGCAGGACGCGAGGGACTGAGGCATACGACGTCGCGACGGCGGGCCAAACCCCCCCGACGGACTAGGGTCTAGGGCGAGCACATTCTGAGGAGGCGAATGTACCCGAACGCTGGCTGCGGACACGATAGCATCCTTCGAAGACTATAAACTGCTCGACACATGAAACGTAAAGTAGCATCTTTTCGATCAGATTCGAATCAATATAGCTTCTGCTCAACCGATTCTCAATTCTTTTTCAGTTTCTGAATGCTCCTTTCCTTGACTATGCCTCGCTAAAGATCAGTCAAATCTGAGGAAAATTCGTTGAATTTCAAGCTTTACAACAAATTACCAAATCAGGTTGAATATATGAATGAACTATGCTTCAAAACGACTGTGAAGAAACACCTTCTCAGATATTGTTTTTATTCCGTTGATGAATTGAATAAAAATTGAATTTCATGAATTTTTTGTACTTGAGATACGATCGAAGATTCTATCTTGTGGTGTTAGGTTTATTTCATTTTGATATTCTTTCCATTGTATATTTTAACATTCTGGTCGTTTGTCTTTATATAATATTTTAATACATCTGTACTTTGTGGCTTGCTCTTGCTGAAAACCATTTTTGAATGAGTAACATGTCATATAAATCTACCTCTATCTATCTTTCGAACTTATAGACGAAATAATTGCATCTCATCAGAATGAGATTCTACACGATGATGATCAAAGCTGTGCCGTTTTCCAAAATTTCAAAGGCGTCCTGTTTGAGAGAAAATGTTTTTCAATTCTATTTCGGTTTCAAAACATATCGCAACATATGTTTCCTTGGTACCTACTGTTAACAATTTTTTGGAATTTTCACATTCGTTACTGAAATTTGAATATTTTCATAAAGGAACGCATAATTTGATACTCTTATTCCTATTGGCTTTGTGTTCCTGTCACTCTGGTTCGAACGGTAGTCAAAAATCATGAAATGATGCATGACTTCATATTCTTATATACAGAGAGTAGTCTACAGACAACATGTATGTCATCAAGTATGTAAAAATCAACCACTGGAAATAATACGGGAGGAATACCAACTGCCCATTAAGAATCCATGTGTTATTGATTTTTTATACTTTTCATGTTCACTCAAAACGTGAAATTTATTGATGTGATTTGAGCTGTTGTTATTGATGAAAAGTCATATGTAACTGGAACACTGAGATGAAATTCAATTTCAAAAATTCATGTTTTTTCTGTGCATAAATACTTCTCGCTTCCCACTTTCTGTCAGTTGCATGTCATGTCTCAGCAGCAACTTTTTCATTTAGGCGTCATCCTATACATGTCTTCATTCTATCTTATTTGCTTTGATTATTTTAAACATGTATCTTGAAATGAGAATGACACTTTGAGAATCCGGTTCTTCCAAGAATTCCAATTCCAAATTACAACAGATTTTCTAGTAAATTGACATGGTGAGGACAACTTATTCTCCTGTACGTTAGTCATAACAAGATTTTTTTTGTTTTGTTTGAGGACCACTCAGTATATAAGAATATGTTGATCATGTATTATATCAAGATTGTTGACCATCGTTTGAACTAGAGTCACTCTGGATGGTATTGTTTGAACCAGAATGATAGGAACACAAAGTCAAGAGAAATAAGAGCACAAATTATGCATTCTTTATAAAAATATTCATATTTCAGTATGAAGAGCGTGACAATTTCAAATAAATTTTAATAGTATCTGTGAAACATAATATTGAGTATATTATGTTTGCGATGTTCTTGATCCCAAGAAGAAATTAGAAAAAAAGTTCTTTCAAACTGGAGGCCTTTGAAATTTTTGGAAAACTGCACAGCTTTGATTATCATCCTGTAGAATCTCATTCCGAAAAGATCCAATAATCATGTCTATAGGTTCGATAGTCAATGAAACGAGCATCCAGAAACTAAAATGAATTGAAAGTCGTTTGAGGCAATCGAGAGTTATGATGATTCAAATTTGATATGAAAGATGCGATTTCACGTTTCATTTGTTGAGAAGTGTAGATATGGAAAAGTTCATTACAGAAATTGGTCTGTTTAAAATTTGTTGTGTTTCACACATTTATCAATGTCATGTTTGCCTAGACTGAACGAGAGCTTTCGTATGTAGGTGTATACATACCTATCACCAGAGTACCAAGATCTTTCAATTCAACGGTAATAGTATATTACATAACAAGAGTGACAAAACGCATATTACGCACGAAGTGGAGAGTTAAACAAGATGCCGCGTAGCGGCGAGTGTGTTCCTTCAAAAAAAAATCCAATACCTACCTCCTATCCCTATCCTCCCTAGGAACGCACGATGTTCTCTGAACATTATAGGGATTTCCTTTCGTGCGCTCCAAGCGATAAAAAAGTGCATAATTGCTTTACAACTCGAGAAATGTACTGTACTTTTTCTACGAGCACACTATACTCTTTCCAGGATAGTACAGATATTGTTTTGAGACACAAATATCAAATATGTCTTCCGTCACGTTGAGCTATATTTGCATGAAAAGGTTAAAATTGAAATTCCTGTATTTCTTCATTGGTAAATTGCATAACGAACCATTTCCCTCAATTTCAACGGAAATGAAACCGTATTTCATATCTCAACAACTCAACTAATAATAAAGAACACATTTATTCTGATGAACATAAAATTAACATTTATAATGATTATTTTCTAGTCACTGTGCAGTTGTTGAAAGTAACAGAATATTCTCCGAAAATGACATGATATTATTCCTGAGTTTCCAGTTCTTGAAATTTCTGCAAGCGATTTCGTATCTTTCACGAGACAACTCATCTGTTGCTATTTTTGCTCTTTCCAGAATTTCTACATAATTTGACAAATAACTAAATAGTTAGGTACTTACGAGATCGAACACAATTGGAAACTGAACCTGTTACTCGAATTCTCAAAACAAACAATAAATTCAATCGCTCTTAGATGAATTCTGATAGTCGAGGACATTCTTACTCGGGTACGTTCGCCTCCTCAGAAGGTGCTTGCCCTAGACTCTATTCCTTAACGGCGCCGATTGTGCGCCGGAGACGCGCCGCGGCGGTGGTGCACGGTCGGTCGGTCGTCTTATGTTTCGTGGCGGGATTAGCGGAGTTGTATGAGGTACTCGCTAAAACTCGTAGATGGCTGTGATAATATAGAACATGGACAAAATGTTAGCTCGACTCACTACCGTGGCGATAAGAGCGTTTTTCCACCACTAGCTGACAGCTGTAGAACCTACCATTATTTACTCCTTCTTGAGGCGTAACGTGTGTTTTTACTACCGTTATGAACCATGCACTAGTCGATAAAGACTTAGCCACCCCTGTTCACTGTTCTAATGCGCAGAGACGGGACTCATATCTAGTACGTATTTATCAATAACGACTTGACATAATATGCTGTCATATAGTCATGGCTATTATTTTGATTGGAATTGAAGGGAAGTGCATTCATAGTGACAATAGGTCCATATTCCGCAGTTTCACAGAACAATAATGATTGAAATAGATTGCTTGTGGTGAAAAAAATCAATATACACCATGGTAGTGAAGAATATCATTACCACGAGACCTTATACCGCTCGGCTGAAGCCTCGGGATTTAACCTTGGTCCCTGGGAAATAATGACATTCTTCACTACCTTGGTGTATAATTATTTTCCACCACTAACCTGAGCAAACACCATTATTCGAGGATTTCCTCTAATGAGAAGAAGCACCCTTGGAAATATGTTAATAGTATTAGATCGTTTTATTAGGATCAAAAGTGACAGTTTATTTGACAAGAGAATTTTGCATTTGCGAGGCGGATCGTCTAGCGAAGCCGAGCGAAAGCAAAATTTGTTCAGAAAGCAATAACTTGTCATTCAAAACGAAAAACGTCCAAATCAGACAAGTAGTATTGATGAAAGTGTTTCTTAAACTAAAATCTTTTGGTGGTACGTTAATTAAGGAGTGTATACCGGGTGACACAGGCTATCGGGCCACCCCTGTAACTTCTGCATTCGTCAACGGATTTTTCTGAAATTCGGTACAGTTATATAAGCAACTATTTCGGATTTGATCACATTACAATCCAATATGGCGGACTTCCGGTTTTTCTGGAAATGCCAGCAATTTTGTTTTTTCAATTGGAACACCCTGTATATTTTTACATATTCAACTTCAACAGGTCAAAACAAGTGCAATCTTGATGTCAAATGTCATTTATTCCACAGCCTACCTAGTTGAAAAATTATTCTAACTGCAATAGTAAATTCATAAACTAGTTGTTGATTTTTGAAGGTATACAATTTGTTACTGCACCGAAAAACAAAAATGATATTTCATTTTGTTCCTTGATGTATGTTCTAGAGAAACGGGTAGGTGGCCCATAGGGGTTCCATTTGAAAAAAAAATAATTTTTGATCAAAAAGTGATGTGGCTGAATTGATTCCTGGATAAGTGACACAAAAAATAATTTTTCAGAAAAAATTATGTTCTTCTGTTATGTGTGACTCATTGTGAATAGTCTTGACCACATCTCATTTATCCACGAGGTAAAATGAAAAAACAATTTTAATTTAATTTTTTTCGAAAAAATGACATTTTCAATAAAGATTGCACTTGTTTCGACCTGTTGAACTTGAATATGTAAAAATATACAGGGTGTTTCATTTGAAAAAACAAAGTTGCTGGCATTTCCAGAAATACCGAAAGTCCGCCATATTGGATTGTAATGTGATCAAATCCGAAATAATTGCTTATATAACTGTACCGAATTTCAGAAAAATCCGATGACGAAAGCAGAAGTTACAGGGGTGGCCCGATACCCTGTGTCACCCGGTATATTGATTGAAATATATTGCTAGTGGTGAAAAAAATCAATATAAATTAATATAGGTAACTCCCATAGACCTATTATGTAACTCCTCAGCTGAAACCTTTGGATGTAATGTAAAGTAATTTCATAATGTTCCAAATGGGCAACAAGAATTGTCAGAACAGTGGGTGAGTGCCAGATAGATTCAAAGTTGCCTATCAACCTGTACTATTTAAGGTAGAATCATCGTGGTGATTTGTTTAATTATCTTCAAATACTTTCACAAAAGCAAAAACGCCAATATCAGACTGGAATTCTGCACATAATACTGTCTCACTAGCAATCAGGTTAGGTTAGGTTTTGGTTTCTCTCCGATTTGGAAGTTGTTTCTACTGGAATTCTAGTTTTGCTTGACGGTTATTGTCTTTTGTCGATGGATATATGTATCATAATATATTGAATCGAATGCAATCTGATGATTATCCCGTAAATTGCAGTTTGGTACACAACTTTAGCGCCCTCTGACACTTACTTTTCGCAAACCCAGTTTTCTTGAAACTCTTTATTTTTGATATTTCAACGCGCCAAACTAATGCTTGATAAGAAATCAGTTGTAGAAACTTTAGCCTGATGATGAATACTATATGAGAAAAACGTTGCTAGCATTCAGACTATAAGATAGAATCTTTGATATACACACTAATATTATAAAGAGACCAGATTTTATTGTTTGTTTGTTTGTATTAAATAACCTCCGAAACTTGACTTACACCATTAGAAGACGACATTATCCCTGATGACCATAGGCTACTTTTTACCGCTGGAAAAAATGCTTCATTTTTACGGGAAAACGCGGTTTGTATGACAACGGGTAATAAGAATTATCCTTCCCTTAGTGATATAATAATAGGATCATACTCAATAGACCCTATTCTACCGAGATATTACTGAGGAAAAACCATTTTATTAGTTCCAATGAGTATGACGAGGTAGTGTTTACAAACAGGCCATCTCACCTCGTCACCTCGCTATCATAATCACAATTTCCATAGTGATTAGAGTGATTAATCATATATACAAGATGAATTATCTATTCCAGAGTGTGTTGCAAATTCTGAACAACATTTTGATAATCTTGGTTCATAGCAGTCTCATAAGCGTTCTTGGAAGTCGATCTGCTACTGGTTCAACATGATGTGCGCTGGAATTTCCATTTCAAAGAATAACAACATAAAAGCCAATCAACTCATTAATATCGAACAGACATTAATGGCCTTTTACGGTCGATGCTAGCAATACACAATATCATCGCCTCCATCAGTGCCATGGTCAATATCAGTATCTCCTCGGTAGCGTTAGTGCCAACATGTTCCCGTTATCGCATATTCCATTGTTTTTGTTGTTGTCGATGACGGTGATTTTATCTGCTAAAATATCGATGGTGAAATCGCACGGTTGCGAATCCTTCGACAACGTGCGATCTGAGGTGATCGAGACCAACGGCCGTCAGTCCAGCGAAAAACTCGACGGCTGCATAGAGCGCAAGAAGCTGCACGATAAAACCATTGTATCTGCTTATTTCAGGTGAGTCGCTAAAATAATCTTGAAATTTTTTATTTGAAACATAAAAAATATTTTAGCACCTTCGTAATCAGTACATTCTATATGTTGTTTATATATCAACACACTTTCATCATTTTATTGTTTACCTCTTTTCAGTTTGGCTATCTATAAAAGGATGATTCTTCAGTATTTGAAACTACTATTTATTTTATATTTTTTATTTCGGCTAAACAGGAGCGTGTTTTTCAGTGTTCTCATATTTTATGTAGGTACCTGATTTTTTGACGGAAGAATCATGTTCTCCGACCCCGACAACTTCCAGATACTATAATTTTGAATAGAATCAGATCATATGATTACAAAACCCATCCGCCATATTCTATCCGCCATATGGAATTTTCCAATATTGACAAATGCATCATATACTCCGACCCCGAAAGCCCCCAGATACTAATTTCGAATAGTTTTTTTATTATTATTATTTTATGTTCTGGTTCCCACGAAAAGGGATATTCTGTAATGTTCAGAGAACATCGTGAGAACCAAGGGAAATAAGGTAGGAATAGGTGTTCTCCCTAAATTTCTGGAGGTTATATGCCTATCGGGGAACACCTCTCTTGCCAATGTGTTCCAGAGCCTCGCTGTTCGTTGGATGAACGAGTCTTTGGGAAGAGATGTTCTGCAGGTCTCCAAAGTGACCACGAAGAGGTGCGAAGCCTCAACTCGACGGGTTAATCTCGCTGGGACTGCCAAGGGAGGTACAATTGTTGATATTTCAGAGGAGCATCGTCCATGAAAATATCTATAAAATAGAGCCAGATCGACAACTTTTCTACGGTGTTCCAGAGGAGTGAGTGAGTTTGTGAGCGAGGCATCACCCACGAGACGAATTGCCCTTTTTTTGACAGAATCCAAGAGTTTTCAGGGTATGTTTGGGCGCTGATCATATATACTTACAAAACTCGTCCACCATATTGGAAACGCCATCTCAAATTTCCAAATTTTGACAAAAGAATCATAGTCTCCAACCCCGAAAACTCTTAGATACCAGTTCTAAATAGAATCGGGTCTTAATTATGAAACTCGTCCGCCATAGCATATCCGCTATCTTGAATTTTCAGATTTTGACGAAAGCATAATTATATTTTTTGACTCCGATAAAAATTTTGAATGGATTTTGATCTTAATTACAAAACTTTTGTCTGCCATATTTTGGATACGCCATCTTAAATTCACAAATTTTGACAAAAGAATCATTCCGACCTCAAAAACTTCCAGATACCAATGATCAATAAAATCGGATCATAATTACATAACTCGTCCGCCAATTTTGAAGCCGCCTTTTCATATTTTTTTGTCAAACAAAAAGTTCATGATTCATCGCCACCAAAATTATATGTACACCTGCCAAATTTCAAATTAATCGGTCCATTTAAGTGGGTCGATCAAAATCGAGTCCAAAGGAGTCGATTACATACAAATATACTAGCGTCAGGTGAAGCTAATAAAAGGGTGTTAAAAAAGTGCGGAGGCAGTTCTTGCAGACTGTCGATAGAAGTGAAAACTAAGTAACTTGTGTATTGTATCGTCGAACTATCAAATTATTCTTGAAATATTATTGGTTTGTATAAAAAACTGTAGTTTTACCTAATAATATTGTAATATTACTGAAATATTGTCGGTTTTCAATGTATTTGAAAGATTTATATTGAAAGCAGAAAGAATAATATACCACTTTGTATAAAAACATGTACGTGCTTGTAGCCAGATATAAATTCTGAATAGAATCGGATCATATAATCACAAAATTCTTGCGTCATATTGGATCCGTCATCTTAAATTTACAAATTTTGACAAAAGAATCATAATCTCTGACCCCGAAAACTCCCAGATATCAATTTCGATTAGAATCGGATAATAATTACAAAACTCGTACGCCATATTTGATACGCCATCCTAAATATCCTAATTTTCACGAAGGTATTATTATCCTCTACCCCGAAGACCCCCGTATACCTATTTTGACTAGAATCTGATGATCATATATGATTACAAAACTCGTCCGCCATATTGGTTCCGCCATCTTGAATTTCCTAATTTTCACGAATTATAAAACTTATCATCCTATTCCAGACTTGAGAGAGATGCAGAGTTGACTTATAAATGGTGTAACCAACACGATTTTAAGCGCGACTCAAAAAAGTGCTTAACGCACCAATAAAGAAGTTTGCACTTCAAAAGAATGTCATTGTCCTTCTTCTGCAGGAATCAGAAGATCCCGAAGCTAGGAAAGGAGTCTGTGAGGTACCTGGTGAAGCTGAAGACGATTTCGTTTTGGGGTTGTAACGTAGAGACGGTGGAGGCGGGAGCTTTCAAAGGGGTGCCGCAGTTGAAGAATGTGCAGATTTCCTTCAGCAACCTCAAGAAGATACGGATGGGTAAGTACCTACACTAAATCGCATCGTTTTATAATCGAGGAAGAAACGAAAGTGAAAAGTGAGATCCAGTTGTTGGATCGTTTATAAAATAGTTATGTCCACTAATTTTCCCTATAAACTCTGAGCGTCTTAGAGATTCAAGAGTTGGTAGATATCAAACTTTGAGGCTGAAACGTCAACATAACTATTAGTAGTTTTGTGATCTGTTCGGTTGAATCCTACGTTGATATTGAACCTCAGTTATCTTTATTCGTAAGCTGAATCATTGAATAGTGCTAGTTGCACAAAATTAACCAAATTAATTGTATCAGGTATACTGGATGATGCAAATGTATGGAATAGTGCTTTTTTTTCAAAAATGCGCAATTTTTGAAGAGATACAAAAACACGTGAGTTTCAATTGTTGTTTATTTTTTTATTACAATAGAATGAAATTATAGTACATCTTTGAATTGATGATTGTATCATTATACTAAAAAGTTCGAACTTTAGTATAATGATACAATGTGGAAGCTAATGAGCAGTAGTTTGCATTTTCCGTTCCTATGCGTTTCTTTATTTGATATTATATTGTATCTCCACAACCAATAATAATCAAAGTTTCGATTAGTTCTGTCTCTGAAAATTTCATTGTTGGATTATAGAGCTATTTGAATATTTTTATGAGAATAATATGAAACAGATTCAATGATACCTACTACATGATTAATTTCAAATTAGAGTTCAGAACATTCTCAATCAATGTATTTTTGTTTTCTAAATAGATGATCAATCCTCAGTAGCAGACTCCTGCAAAACAAATGAGCATTCATTGTAACTGATTCAATCTTTTAATACAACCCTTCAAATGGAGTGCCACATATGACCTCTGCATCTACTGTTAGTACTTAAAAAATTCGTCCAAGACGATTCATACATTTGTGTCATACGTGTATGTCACCGCTAAGATGTCACCGCTATACCTGTCTATTTTGCTATTTCAGGCGTGTTCAACCCAATAGAAACACTCGAACTCCTCCGGATCCACGACAACCGGATCGAAACCATCGACGACCAAGCGTTCGCCAATCTCACATCGCTCAAAAAAATCTACGCCGGCAACAACGCTCTAAGCTACTGGCACAGTAACTGGTTTCGCAACTCCACCAACCTGCAAACCATGGATTTCCACAACAACAAAATCCGCACCCTGCCCAGGAGAGCTTTCGCGACTTTGCCCAAATTGAAGCGCATCAACCTCGACTGGAACGAAATCTCCGCCATCGAATCGGAAGCTTTCCGAGGCCTGAAGAAGCTCCAGTACTTGGGCTTGGGGAACAACAGACTCACTGTCATCCACGAGAGCGTTTTCCCTAGCAGCATCCAGATCAGCACGCTGCTGATCAACGCCAACTACCTCAACTACCTGTCCGGCGAGCTGCTGAACAAGGTGTCCGTCTTGGAGGTCTTCCTGGACTACAACCCCTGGAAATGTCCCTGTTTGAAGGAGATTTACGCGTGGATTCACTCCACGAAGGGCGCTTTGCGAGTGTACGATGGGTGCGGTTCGAATCACGTGCCGGTGTGTGCCAATAAGAAGAGCGTATTGCAGTGCTCGGAGAACGTGGACGAAGAGTTGAGCAGACGGTATTTAGGGGTGTTCGCGAATTTGACCAAACCTTTGGCGAGTGGTTGCGTAAGGACAAATTGATGGTTGATTAAATATAGGGAATGTTCTTTAGCCTTCTTTATTTCTTCATTGTAGGATAGTTGGCGAGACTCTCAGTGTAGCTCTATCAATCTCCGATACGCTTCGCTCTTGGCTTTAGTATTTCGATTCACAATTATATTGACAAATTAATTGACTACACCTCACGATACGTCCCTACACTTTTTGCTTCTTTGAATGAATCAGCTCGGCTGGTTATGCATCGTCGCTTATTATTGCCTATTCACCTTGTCATTTTACAGATCTAGATGGTGTTTTGCACTACGAATGCGGGTTGAATTTGTATACTTAGGTTATTAGCATTGTATACAGGGTGTTGGAAAATTTGACCGACAACGCTTGATAGGTGATAGCTCTCGTGATTTGACGAAGAGTCATGAACATAAGGTCGTAATATGCTTGGTTTTTGAGATACAGGGTGTTAAAGTTGAAAAATAAGAAGCGTTTTTTCGCAATAACTCGATAACGGCAGACTTATTCTTATTCAAATTCGATACATGAATTATACTTCAGAATCCACAATTCCTGACGGATAGTTATCTCAGACAATTTTTCGGCTTAGTAATAAGGGTGTATAATTGATTTATTCTGCAAAAATACATGGGTGGCGATGGAAATCCCTGGGATTTCATGCTCGAATATCAAAGAGCACTCAATTCTAAAGATGAAAGATCCTCTTGATGGAGATCAATTGAATACATTATTGTCGAGAAAACACGGAAAACGTGACTGCACTTTCCTTCATTCATAATCGACCAATAACGTGAAAATACATAAATATAAACAAAACAATATAATGAATGATCAAAGTTTCGGCAATTAACTTATTTGCTGACACCGTACATACATATATATAGAGAGGGTTCTATATTCAATTCAACCTCGACTGGAACGAAATCTTCGACATCGAATCGAAAGCCTTCCGAGGCCTGAGGAAGCTTCAGTATTTCGGCTTGAGCCCAACAAACATTCATTTGCAGTAAAATCGAGGGCCAATACATTGCTCCCATAACTAGATTTTTATTTCATTTGTACCAGTATTTCACCTGATGAAGCTACTGTGTTAGCGAAACATGTCGTGTGATGAGGAATTTCGTGGAAATCCCAACGTTTGTGAAGTTTTTCACATAAGTAGATGTTGCGGCAAAATAACTAGCGTTGGCACGGGGCCATCAAGAAAACGACACTTCGGGCGACGGTTTCCCGACGGTCAATCAGCCAGCATTTATTCCATTGATGGGCTTTCAAATCCCCATATTGGCATCGGAACAATCGAAATATGAAAATAATAATAATGATGGATGATAAGAGTGTGATGAGATCTACATTTTGAATGGTTAACCTCATACATTGTCGTGAATTGGTAGCGCAGATGGTCCATTCTCCAGGTGTCCTATCCATTCAGTCGTGTAAAAAATAATTCAAACTAATATGTATTTAGATAATAATATTGCAACCAATACTTTCTTATTCTGAGAGAGATAATTTATAATTCAACTATAGCTGACCCGGCAAACTTTGTTTTGCTATAACATCATTACTAGAAGAAATGTTTTTACATAAATATTCATCAAAAAACTTTCATTATTTTATTTATACTATAACGTTGTTTGCTTAGTCCCTGAAAAGGGGGCACTAACAACAATGGGTATCTACTTATGTGAATAATAAAACTCAGGGGGTGGGTGTAAAAGTACAATATTCCTTTATGGTTGGTTGAGGTTGGTTCACTTCATATGGTGGTAAGTGGTGGTTAATTCTGAGAACTTTAAGTAGTGATTTATGAGCAGCAAGTGATGACTATTACAAATGAAACCATAATAACACAATCCAGATTGCAAGTTGCAGTGGAAACTTACCCAGCTTTCCCTCTGGTATCGATACCAAAAGTGTACAGGTTGATCAGTAGATATACTATACTTAAACTATGCTAATACTGGGTGAGGTCAATGCATTATATCCTGAATTAGTGCAACTAAAAGAAGGACTAGATACAGCTCACTTTGAAGGATTTTTAGAGGTGACAGTGGCAGCTTGGAGCAGGAGTGTCCCACAGCAAGTAAGACAGGTAAGTGCTAGATATAAGCAGTCTGGCCTGCTCAAGTCAGCTTCTGATCCACAGGTCGAATCCTTGTTGGCTACCCTATGTATTAAAACTACAATTGACAGGCTAGGCAGGAGGTATATGCAGGCTGGTGTACGTAGGGTACCATGCAGAAAGCAAAAGCAAAGCAGGCAATCATATAAGCATCGGTGGTTATAGCAGTAAGTACACTTATTGACTACTAGAAATCGTTTTTGTTGGCCCTGCAAGTAATAATGCTACTATGTAGAAATTTATCAAATAAGCTGCAGAAATGCTTGATTCAACCCATACCTTGTTCGCAGGTGGCCAGATGTATCAACTACAGCGAGTTGTGAAAATGATATCTGATAATCAAATTCTGACTAGGAATTTTATCCCTTGGCAGGTAGTAGGCAGTGGACCGTCCTTTGACTACTTATATTTCCTAGTAAGTTTTGATTATACAATTTAAATCCGCAATAATGCGATGGCACGTTTCAATACCTTCATAGGTTATCAGAAAAAGCCCTGTCAAATATCACTATCTTGGCGGGACTTTCCCAGAATCCCGCCAAAATGACCCACTTGTCAGGTTATACCGTTTTAGGTTATTAGGTTGAGTTAGCAGTTATCTTATTTTCAGGTTGAGGACTAACTAGGTATTCCAGATGGAGCAGAAGAAGAAGATGACAAAACCCAGAGTCCAGACTAGTTATAACCTTCAACTAATATAGTAAGGTTAATGATGGATCAATGTTATTATTTTTCTACTACTTGATTTTTCTACAAGGTAAGATCATTATATTGCAAATGTTGTTGATAATTCACCAATATATATGTATTTCACAGATTTGGACCAGAGGAAGCCCACATCAGTAGAGATCGGACCGAGGATATCGAAGTTGATGGCATGGGTAAGTAACAATGGGGAAATGATTCCTTTTATTAATGGTTTCTCATTATTTTCCAGGTCTGCTGGATCTAAGCAGTACTCGAATGAAGATGAAATATCAAGCATGATACCTAAATGATCTGTATAACGATTGAATAAAGGATTTTAGATAACTCTGCTTCTAGTCTGTGCACATACTTACATTAAATCAAAGTGAAACCGTAACAACACCCCTCTTACCCCATAAAAAGTTTTTGTTTCCCAAAAAAAAACTTTTACTACAAGAAATAACTACTACCTTCTAACTTCTATCGACAAACGTTAGAATTTACCCAGTGAGTGGATTGTTAATTCTCCGCATCGTAATCGTCCTGACGCTCGTCTTCGTCTGGTGGATGTGCTTTAATATCCTTCGCATGCCATACTCCGCATGCTTTTCCAGACTCATCCGATAACTCATATGACCACGGGGACAGGATTTTAGAAACTATAAAGGGTCCTTTGAATTTCAAAGCTAACTTGGAGGTTATACCGCGAGTTGCATCCGACAAGCTATAATTCTTACGCCAAACCTTTTGGTTTAGTTGAAACTTTTCATCCCTCCTCCTCAAATTATAGCGCTGCTTACTGCGCTCATGGGCCTGTACCAGTCTCGTTGATACATCCTCGAAGACTTTTCGCAATGCCTCCGATCGAACCTCTGCATTGAATTCTCCGGATCCGAGAGTATCGGTAAGCGGGTGTTGAGCCTGTCCCGATAGCCTAATCTCGCGACCAAATACAACAAAATTAGGCGTCAATTGGGTAGTTTCGTGTTTCGCCGACCTCATGGCACATGCTATCTTTGCTAAAAACTGATCCCAGGCGCGATGGTTGTCTGATACATATGCCGTCAACATCGTTTTCAAAACACGATGGGTGCGTTCAACGGGGTTTGCTTGAGCATGGTAGTTTGCAATATATCCGGTTTTGATATTATATTCGTCCATGAGGTTTCGAAATAAGTGACTTCGGAATTGTACGCCGTTGTCCACGATAATTTTCCGGGGAGTGCCATAAACCAGAAGTACTCGCTCCTCCAGGATCTGTGTCACCATTTTTGCCGTAGGCTGACGTAAAGGGAAGAATAACACGAATTTACTGAAGATATCAGAAACCGAGAAAATATAGGCATGTCCAGACGCGGATCGAGGTAACGGACCTACCAAATCAATGCTGAGAATTTCAAATGGCCTGGTAGCCTGAGGTGCAGAACTGAGTAAATGGCCGGCTGGCGGCTTCTGCTCCGGCTTCGTACTAATACACACCGTACAGTGTTTGATGAAGCGGGCTACATCCTGCTTCATCTTCGGCCAGTAGTATACACTGCTGAGTCGAGAAAGGGTTTTGAAAACACCACAATGTCCCATCGTTGGTGGGTCATGGTGTTGGCGAATGAGGTCGCGGCGACGTTCTTTCGGTACAACTTGTACCCAGGGATCTACCTCATCAGTCAATTCAGGATACTTTCTACCCACTCGCTTAAACAATAATTTCCCCTGTACACGCCATGCAGGATAGCGAACCGGGTCTCTGGTGACAGCTTGGATCAGCTGTTGATACCAAGGGTCTTTGCTGGCAACATCGGTACATAACGAGTCAATTGTCAAGGCTGGCACAGAACGGGAAAGAGTGTCTGGTACACAATGGTTACGACCAGGACGATGCTGAATGTCGAAGTCGTACTGCTGAAGTCTCACTGACCAACGCGCAATCCTACCAACTGGATCTTTGATCGAATTGAGCCATTTCAGGCTATAATGGTCGGTGATTACGGTGAATCGCGTTCCCTCCAAGTAAGGCCTCAGCTTCTCGACTGCGAAAATGACTGCAAGACACTCTTTCTCGGTCGTGCTAAACTTACGTTCGCTCGGTGTGAGAGAGCGGCTAAGATAACAGACTACCTTTTCTCCATCCGGATGCACCTGCGAAAGCACGGCTCCTAAACCATAATCAGATGCATCCGTCTGGACCTGAAATGGTAGG